CAGCTTCCTGTCCCTTCAATGTACTTAGGTCCGAATATTCTCCTACGGCACGAATGTACACACTGTACAGTTGACCTCACATTACAATATCTACAGGAAGCGACTTTTTTCTTCCCTTTCGTCTCTTTTACTTGGCGAACGTGAAAGAATAAGTGTAGACCTTAAAAATAAAGAGGTGCAGGATTGAATATACAATCCTCAAACCATTAAACAGATTTTATCATTTGTAAACACTAATTCTACTTAACATCAAATATTAACAAAGCCTGAAAAGTATACGATGTCACATTGGAGAAAAAGACAACAAAATATCGTAAACATTTCGCCAAATTAAATGTTACCAAGCAACAAAAGGCCTGTAACTACCGTAAAATCATCAACTTCTGGCACTCGAAGCTCCCCACACGTATCTAACTCCACAAGGTACTCAAGAACACTGCTCAAGGTCAACATGTCCACTTACTTTCGGGAAGACCATGGACAATATCCGCAAGGTCGACCATTTTAAATGAACTGTAATACGTAAATTTCAGCATACACCTACAGTGCAAAACACACTGGCCCATTAGATACAGAACATCATCAATTAATAGTTCAAAATCAATTTATCTAAAGTAATTATCAGGCTTACTATTTGTACTGCTTATTACGAGAGCAGAGAATAGTTGCGGAAGTAACTGAAATAAAAGCAGTACTTTCCTGCTTAATCAAGGTGAAGTTCGACACGGCCTCCACTACTACTGACCTTAAAAACACCATCCTACGAAGAAAAAAACACAGGGCCCCAAACGTGGACAGATTCTTTACTAGAACAGTGGCGTTCTCTTGTGATCACGATAATTAATATTCGGGTTAAATAAAAGACAGGAATTTCTCAACTAGCTGAGTAACTACTGGTTTCTTTAGAAAGATGCTGCTCCACCAGAGTTGTTTGCACAGAAACACTGTCCCTGTCAATAAAATCTTCTCGGCCAATCAGCCGCGTTAACTGGTTACCGTAGTAAACCGACGTTTCGGGAACTAACTCTGTCCCCATCTTCATGGTTCTGAAGTGACTGGATACGCGGCTGATTGCCCGATAAGATTTTATTCATTGTACTCGCCGCGAAAGTCTCAAATCCTACTGTCCGTGTTTTATCATCATGCCATCGCCATCAAGGGGATGTCAGATTAAATTCCACGTATTCTTGGTGCGCTAGATGGACGTGGTCAGCTTCACGGAACCACAGCTACCACATCGTGCCCAGTCACTTTCCTAAATAAGCTACCTTTACTCGCAGTATACTACTCAGACAGTACGACAATCCTAGAGAATTTTCCAAGTAAAGCTTCTCATACAGAAAGTCATGCTGAAATGTCTGCCACCGAAATTCGATGTTGGTCTGTTAGCATCCCTTCTTCGTACACGAAAATGCCAGGATTAATTACTGCCCCGTATATCTACTATGTTCGTCTGTTTTCATGAATTGTTACAGTCCCTCTAAGAAAACGCTGGGATGAACTTTAAAACAGGCCACGACTGCTTGCTTCTACGTCCTTTTCAATGGAACATTAGAATTAATGCATATTCCTTATGAATTAGAGAAGTGTTAATACATAAAATATGAAGAATTTTTCTTCATCTGTAATACGATAAATGTAGCCCAATTAAACTAAAATAAACTTCTTGTCAACCTTTCATACCTTTATTGAAATCCATGACGTGATTTTTACGTGCCTAGTAACGCTATGAACGTCCATCCGCCAAATTGTTTACAGACACTTTGATTTTAACTTCAGAGCCTTATTTAACTTCGAGTAGTCGGAGAAAACTTATGAACCAGAAATTTACATTATCTAAGCATTGCCATGTGCAACTTTTAATTCGTCCTAAGGCTCATATTGCTCAATGACTACACACATATATTAGGTTACCTCACCAAATATTTTAACCTGAGGGGGGAAAATCAATAAACATGAGAAAAATTCATAAAATACTTAACACAATACGTTAAACCGGAGTATCCTGTTCAGAAATACGTATATTCCGTGACGCACAATAAATTGTCCAGTAAACATTTAAAATTCTAATTTCGGCTGTGTTACACGTTTTCAGTGGTATGCATGTCATTAACATTAACAGGCACGTCATATCTCACCACGCATGCACGCACGCTTAATACAGCAGGTATGATTGTAATACTACTGTGTTACATACCACATTTATTTCAAGATTCTATTTACTGTTAAGAGCATGAAGATGGCCTAATCAGGGTGAACTATGCAGCTCATAAAAAGAGCTGATAATGTCAAAAAACAACCATATTTTGTGTGGTAGAAATATAATTATTTAAACACTTCCGAATATTTTACGTAACAAGTGGGGAAAAGTCACCAAATTACACGCTTCAAGGCCACAAAAGAACTTCACCGTCACATAATTTACTGCGCGAATCTTAGTCAACAGTACAGAGTTGCTAGCTTTGCTACGCTGCGAAGTGCGAGCTATCTTCACTCGCCTGGGCTCCATGTTCGTGTTGCAACGTTGTATGATTTTGCTGTGATATTTAAGTAGGCAATTTGGTGACGGCCAACGGCCCGGCACTAAAAGTACAGAAATCATCATCACGTCCGCTCAATATTCAGCAACTCAGATATATGACCTCTAAGGCCCTCTCGCTAGAATCAGTGCCAAGCCACTGACTGAGGCAAGCAAATTAAAATTGTTCCATTCACAAAAATGGAGAAGAGGCTCATATTACTGCCCATGATTGTAAGCAAAATCACAGTTACGTATTTCGTTATTTGTTTCCTTTGGCTCCTTTCTTTTGCTGTTTCGGCTGTGTAAAGCAAGGGTCGTATACAGTATACTTTTTACTTCCGGACGGACGGGTTTGTTCCAAACAGACAACTAAACGGAGAGCCATGAGGAAAAATTCTGCAGTTTAAAAACTGCTAAATAGCTATCAAATATTCGCACTGACTAAACATACCTTATAAATATACCAAAATATAGGATGATTCAGAAGTCTAGTATGATACCCAAGGATGTTGTTGTGGAGATCATTTGGAGCAGGAAATATAAATAAACCGATAAAAAATCTGACAAGTCTCACCCACATGGAAAGAAAAGTATTAAAAAGACTTATTCTGAAGTGAGGATTGGCAAATGATACAAACTGCAACAATTTCATTTTTTCTTTAAATTGCAAACAAAGAAACTGACTGGAATATTGAGTCACAACTAACCGATGCATTTTATAACAAATGACAATAATAAAATCGACATCAAGGATAAAAAGTAGTAACTCTCAAACGGTGATAAATCTGGAAGAAAAAAATGTTACTTACATTTTCTGCTCCAAACTATCTTCCCAGCAACCTCCTTAAGTATTGTATCAGAGCTCTGATTCACCCTGTACATAATCGGACTGTTCATAAACAATTTGGACACGATAGTCTCTACTCTTATCGGCATTTTTGAGGTGATAAGATACGCATTAAACCGAATCTGGAGTGTACCCACCAGACGTTCTCGTACCCGATTGCAAGTATAGTAAATTCAAATGCCAAAAACGCGTGTATGTTTATTAGGGAATCCGAAACTCGAATTTTCGCAAAAAAAAAAATACAGGCTATACTTTTATTTATTTTATTTCCTTTCAATTGCAGTGCTTTTTAAACTATTTATAAGACGATAAAAGGAACGTATTAGCATTATTACAATAATATTAAAATTAGTTACGTTTATACTAGCACAAATATTATAAAATTGGTAATTAATCACTTTCTTGTTAATAACATAAAAATAAATAACGCAGTATGAATAATAGTATCTGAGTATCACAGCTATTGGCCGGAATTTTTCGCGGGCCACCTCCGGCCAGAGGACCATAGTTTCCTACCTCCTGGTGCACACGTTCACACTTCATTTGAACTATTACGCGAACCATTCACACACTAGATTTTCCACGTACATGTCACGAAAATACAAAATGTAAAAATATGTAATCCTGTCAAAAGAAAAGTCACACTTTTTCACAGGCAGCAAAGTAAAACTACGTCTTAAATGGAAAACGACTTCAAGACTACAATTAATTACATTCACTTATTTTACTAAACAGATGAAAAAATACATAATTCTCGTGTGGTACGAACATCAAAAAGCAAGGAAAAATCACTTAATATCTAGATAATCCAATAATAGTACTTTATCAGAAATGCATTACCCAGTCAAGGTACAACACTCCAAGAGTACTTTATCAGAAGCAAATAATAAAGTCGAAATCGAACACTTCCAAATTACAAACCAGACAAGAAACACGAGCAATGCCACATTAATGAACAGACATGGTACATGCGGGTCAGTGCCAGTATACTTGCTGCATCCTACATGGGGAATTAATTACCTGCATTTGATATAAATTGGAAAAGCAGACTATTAACTACTCATGAAAAGAGAAGGAACACAAAATTTGCAATTTAAAGCAACCAACGCAAATACCACTGTGAAAAATTCCAAGTATTTAACATGCATGCTGACGTGTTAAAAATCACACGATTAGCAATAAGAATATGTTCACAGAAGTGTTTGCCCATAACTCCTCTGATATATCTACTGTAGTGAACAGCAAATGGAGGTTTGAAGTAGGGACCATTCTCCAAGAGTTCCTATAGTTGTGAAAAACTATGCCTAAGGATAGTTCAAAATGCTCTTATGTTAGTAGAATATCAATCAACCACAGTCACCTTAAAATGTGTCAAACACAACTACAAAACACAAGATAAAAGTGGAACTACAACACAAAGAATGGCAAAAAATGAGGGAAACTCCAACTTTAAAAATTGGGTAATCTCACAACCATTCATCGTCTCAGTTTTACACCAACAAATACTTCTTGCATGAAAAACTAATAAATTTAAAACAATGATGGCGTGCTTGCAAAAAAAATCAAAATTACAGAACTGTATCAGTTTTAAAGAGTTGCCCTCATAGTTCCATCCTATTTATTTTTACCTACAGAGTAAATCCTTAGTCCAGATATGGACCTGGACACTCCATTTGCTGCAAAAACAAGGAAGAAACAAGTACTTTAGATTACAAAATCAAATCCCCCAAATCTCTAAAATTATATGAAAACACGCATTGCTAAAACATAACACAAGAAAAACTGTCTGTGATCAGGATCAACATTACTGATGTGACAACCACGTATCTGACACAGCCTTCTGCAATCAACTACTATGGATGTAAGATCTCCCCTAACAAACATTCTGTATCAGCTGCAGATGAACTATACATAATATGATACAATTAAGATCAAAATGATACATTTCCCTTTAAAAATATGCCTTCGTAACCATTAACACTGCATAGCTTTGCTAAAATATAACACAGGAATGATGTATGTATCACAATTTCTCATAAGAATCATTATAACGGATCTTTCGTAAGAAAATTAATAAGATTTTTGTATGCTACTTCGTGTCAGTGTATCTTTGAACATAATTTGTAAAATTCCTCTCGACATACTTCATTAATGAGTGTATTCTACAGGTAATTTGAAACAGAAAATTAAAAACGTCCCATAAATAACGAACAGATTCATCGCCATTATCCAGTTCTGGCTCTACTGTAACGGGTTTATTCTAGAGCTGGACATGATCTGATAGTTTCCGGAGGCGGTGGTTTGGCGCGCGTTCAATGGGTGATCGCCAATTACTATCAATTGCATGCAATGGGCAGTTCAGTGCAAACACTAGTACTGCGCAATCATTATCGCCTGGTGTTGTAATGTTAATTTCGGCCAACAAACTGAAAGTGCGGGGATTCTAAACTCACAACTGGCTTTTTAATATTATCCCCATTACAGAAAATCTAACGTGCGAAAGAAAATAGTTTATTCAGCAAACGCGTTGTAGCCGAAAACAATATTTAATAAACTTCGTTAAAATCAGAAGTTGGCCATTCTTGAAGACAACTGTACACCTATTCTGATTTAAAAAAATACTCTCAGAACATTTTTTTCCTAATTATTAAGTAAGCCTATAGGTAAATTAAATTAGCTATTCACAAAGTAGAGCGGAATGAGTGAAAAGGAACATAATTATTTCCCTCAGAAATGTACGCTTCCTCAACAGTTGCGTCTTTTTCAGATGGTTCAGGAATTTCTTTCGCTCGGTGATTAATTGAAAAGATTATTTCATCTGGAATGGACTTCACCGTAAGCAGTGGCACACAGCAATCATAAAGATCGGCCTGCAGAGTCCTCTACGCTTTTTATGGTATATTTTAAGACGATCTAAAAGAGTTTATGTTCCTCTAGTACTTAGACATATGCCACCGCAGAGAGAGGATCCCATCCGATAAACTCTCCCAAGGTGAAAAAATATACAGAGTATATCTTTTCAAGTTTAGAAGAACGACTTATAGAAAATATCTTAATAAATTATTGCTAACGTCCGTCACGATTATGCTTCAATAGTTATAACCGTTGCCATAGTAATGCTGTTAAGAGATTCTCAGCCTTATGATTTGCATTAGTGACAATAAAACAGTACTTATTATGCCCAGCTAACAAATGTCATGGTTCCTTCCCCATTCTGGTGCGTGTAGTGCGGAAGTTTACTGGTTTCGTTTGACTTCGAGACAGGAAAATTGTCGTAAATGGGGAGCAAGTAAGGATATTCCAAGAGACTGCAGTTGCCTATTTCAATGTCCTATCCTTCAAGAGACGAAAATCTCACAAAGACCTTAGTCAGGATAGCTCCTGGGTTCGTGACCCAAAGACCCTAAACCTAAACATGACAGAAGAAAAACGCGAAAACGAAGGTCTTGTTCGGTGAGGTGGCTGCAGTAACAAATACCACGGCTCCGAAAAATCTGTCCTGGATTCGAGTCCCGCTGAAGGTGGTTTATGTAGCTCAGAAACTAAGCGTGATAGAAGAAAGGCGCTGATACCAATGTTGTTTATTTCGGCGAGGGAATTATGGAAACAAAGTGCAGAGCCCAAAAGTTGTTCTGGGTTCGAGTTCTAACAAAGATGTTTCTGTAACTCGGAAACTAAACATGACAGAAGAACGGCGCCAGGACCGAAGCTGTTTATTTCGGCGGTGAGATTACAAGAAATGAAAATGCGTCCTTGATTCGACCTCTGGCGAATATGGTTTCTGTAGCTTGGTACAAGCACTTGTCGAATGTCCTCGTAGTTACACTGTGGGCACTCTGCTAGTTAAAGTAATAATAAGTAATAGCCAACTTTGTTCTTCTGGATTGCGACGCCGTGCAGACTAGCGTGTAGGTATCTACGTTTCGGATAAACATACTATCTTCACCTTAATTAGCCCTGAAGATGGAGTCGGTATGTTTCTCATAAGTATTGGTACTCGCCCATAAGTCCACACGGCGTCATCACTTTGAAGAACAACATCGACATTTCAACATCGATCTTCCGTAAACGTGTGGTGTGGAATAGTGAGAAATCATATTTAATCGTTGGGCCTTTAACAACTGCGTCTCACAGACGTGTTCTGGAGAAGGAAATTCAACTTAATTTAGAAAATGTTCCTCTCCAAACAAGAACTGTAGAACGCCCCCACATATCGGCCGGTCAAGAAAGGTGTGGAAAGGACAAAGGCCAAAATGAACTTGTCTCACGGGTTTGTACGCAGTCACAGGTGCATCATCATTATTCTTATTTTATAACTGGTATGAGGCGAGACTGTCTCTCTGTGGAACAAGCCTCTGACGGGCCTGTTGTCCATCCCCTAAATAATAAGCCACACCGGCAAGCCGAAAGCAAGACAACAAGTGTCTGAGCGCATAAATTAAACCACTTTTGAAACAAGAAATTAAATATATACGTATAAAAACATTAATGCATGCAAATGCATGACAACGCCCAGCAGTATATAACCTATTTTGCTGTAAACATTCAAGTTTGCTATAATTCGCTTAATACAGTTGATAATAATTTCGTGTAAACACTGAAGTTTGTAATATAACAAACAAACGAAGACGGCAGTCTTCTGGGATGTTACGCCACGTAGTCTGGTGGACACTGATCAACGTTTCAGAGGTACTTACTGCCTGATGATGGAGGCAGTAAGCACCTCTTAATCGTCAATCAATATCTACCAGAGAGACTACACGCGCAACATCCCAGAAGACTGCCGTCTTCACACTCGTCCCTGCAAGAACCTGAAATCTTACCAATTCAAATCAAAATAGAATTACAAATACTTCACTGCACCAATGCTTACTTCAATAACGGTGATGAATCAAACTGTAGTTTACAAGACATCTTTTACTTCAGATCACCCATAGATACACTCCTACAGTCTGACCATAATGTGGTGGGGTATTCTGTACATTTAGAAGGGTCTACATATGTTTAAGCTAACACAATTACAATTTCCAAATGTTCATTTTACCGCTGTGTCGATCATTTCTAATTAAGTTTTACTTAAATCTTCAAATACACTTCTTACAATTTTAATTTATAAAAAATTGTATCAAATGGTGATTTAACTTAAAAATAACTGCAACATAGTCATGCCCTGAACATATTTATCTTATATCGGACTATAACTTTCTTAAGCGGCCCATCCACGTACGAGTCCGGCGCGGCTCGGGTTCCATTGAGTCAAACTCGTTTGTGGGTGGGGTGTCACGAGCCGAGTCTGCTATGCATGTGTGGTGAAATATATCCGAGTCCGGCTCACGAGTCAAGCTCGCCAAGCCAGACTCGTACGTGGATGGGCCGCTTTACACATCTTTAAATCAACAGAAAACTGATATGTAATGCAACACACCGAATTAAAACAAGTAAACTGAATGAATATACACTAAAAACTTACATATGTTCCAAGTTCCATAAACAATAATCTATGATGCTAAAAGTTAAGACTAAGAAAATTGTATGGTTGCATGCTATTACAGAATTTACTGCAAATAAAGTGAACTAATTTTGTAATTCATTAAGTATTACACAATTGGAGAGAGTGTTTGCTCCATTCACAATTTAAACAGATTTCTCAATAGTAGCTCATACACAAAAACATACAAATCATGAAACTTGTAAAATGTGTACATATGAAATGTTCTTAATGTAGTGTAATTTTAATGAAGGACAAAAAAATAGTTTATTTCTAACTAAAACATTTAACTAATGGGCCGATTTCAAGATCAATACACTTCCCTCATCAGAATTAATCAAAATCCACAGTAGCTGTCAAGTGGAAATATGGTCACGTGGATGGATGTAGCATCCCTAAATTCTGACTTCATCTCACACACTGCATACACACCAAAACACTAAATAATTCAAGCTCTTCATAAACTAACATGACATTATAAAGCATTTTCTGATGCACAAATACTGAACACAAATCCCTGAAATTTTTCTCAAAAACAAATCCAAAAACTCACATCTGACAACATTACTATCATATTACCTTCCTAACAAGGGGAAATAACAAAGTATATTTTCTCTTCTCATGATTTTTCACTGTGTCTCACTATGATTTGCTTTCACCATTAACTTCACAAGAAAAGGCAATGTCTGGCAGGAAGCAATGAAAGCTGACAACAGTATACATGGAGTCCTTAAATTCTGCAAATAGCTTCTAACAGAATCTGGAAGTTATTGTAAAGATACAAACAACAGTGACTGTTATTCAAAAATATGCAAGTTAATTTCAATAAATTAAAAAATCAGGTCACTCACAAACAAGTGCAGACATTCACATCCCCAGACTAATCAGATTTTGGGAGTAATGTCTTCTGAATAGAAAAAATCACTTAGTGAAATCATGTCATAAAATAAATCAAAGGAAGAGTAAAAAAAATTCAGAAAGATTTTCTAGTAATGGTTATCAACTGAGATTTGAGGTTCTCTTAGTAGTGAAGACATCAGTTGTGGTCTTTTGGTTTAAGAAGTCCTGAAATCTAGTAGGTGATATTCAATGTCCTCTGAAATGCTGATAACAACCTAGCATCACAATCACCACATAGTAATTAAGGGCCTTGAGAAAAAACTCTTAAAGAAGGGCAGGACTGTTCTGGTCTCTTGAAATTCAACTTTAGGTGGTTCTCCTTGTTAAGACCAATTTGTTAAAAATAAAATCAGTATCAGCAATTAAAATAACATATAACAGCATCCAAATAAAAATACATGCCATCCACACAACCACGCTGGCATGCAAAAAACTGTGCACATAAAGTCTCTCCATCCTTCATGTAAAAGCTCCATGAAAAATGTCTCAGATATGCACATTTTCAATCTTTGTTTCAAAAAGAGAAAAAAAGGTATCCTCTCATACCCAACATGGCATATAATATAACCTAATAAAGTATTATACATGAAATGAGCAGTCTACTACAATCTGTCTCGAAATTAATGGAACAAATCACTGGCATAAAGGCTCCAAAGCCATTCTTAATGTTACAGTAAAACAGATATTGTGAGCATTCAATCTGCAATTGGCCACCTTAATTAATTACCACTACCAATATCAATAGATAATGTATAAACATAAGTTTGATGTTTGAAATTATTTTTCCACTTCCAATGTAATGGGGAGAGCAGCCTACACTAGGATCAATATACAGAATAAAAAATGCATTTTCTATTATTCCTCTTGTCATAATTGTTTAAATATGGTACACAATCAATAAAAACTGTAACAATGTCACAATGCAACAAAGTTATTCCCTACATTCTAACTTTAATTTGAAGACTAAGTAACAAAAACAAAACTAAAATCCCAATGCACCTTTTAACTGTGACGCAATCTGAGGAATTAGTACTTAAAATAATGGTGTTTACTGTCAATATGCAGTCTAAGAAACATGACCAAGTTCATGTTAATGTAGTAATAGTAATACTTTCTTCTTGTAATCCACGTGACCATGTTACATTTCCTACATAATATGGACCCACTCCATATTTATTACGATCAAAAAATAAACTATGCAAAGCCTGTTATATGATCATCATTAATAAATATACAGTGTAAATACAAGAATGAGAAAATTTCCTTTCTCTTTAAAAAGTTGCATCTTTAGCATTCCTACACACATTTAAAATTTAGTTTTTTATGTTACAAAACTTCTTTACAAAACTGTGGTAAAATCAGACAAGACAGCCTCTTTGATCTGAACAAGCTTTAATTACAGGAAACAAATTATTTAAAATTAAGATTATATAAGGTTACCAGGACATAATTCACTAACTGTAACTATAAAAAAACAGTTCCTAATGTTCAAAATAACAAAATAATCTTACTTGATCACAGGTAATTACATAAATTCATCCGGATATGTACAAACTCATACTTTGTGGGGTTTGTAAGTAATGACATCTTCAGGTCAATTAACTTCTAAATACTTCAAAATAAAACTATAACACTATAAAATTTTACAATGTCATGTTTCAAAAATAGACAGAAAACTCCAAGTAAAATTAATAGACGTATTTGCCACATGCAAAACAGTTTTCTGATAGAATGCAGAACTGTCACATAAATTAATATGAAACTGTAATGGGAAACATGTTTATATTCATGGCATTTTAATACAGCCATTACAAACCAAGCAAATATCGTTAACAAATTATGGAAAAGTAACAAATGCGTACTAGAAAACTACGTGATGAATTTCAGGGACATGTACTGAGATATGATGTTGAAGTACTTTGTGATAAACGACACAGCAAAAAACAATATGCCGAAAAGAACATTCCAAATGGGTTATCTACAAAGACACAAGAAACCCTAACGCCTTCTTTTACAATGTTGTATAATACCAGGTTTTCTGTCAGTTAAGTATATGTATGGAATGTTGAGACACATAACCTAACCCGCAATACCTGTTATGACTTAAAAGCAACTCATACTATCCAATTCGTAATTCCATGTTCGATGAACGACAATTACAACCACTCCACGACTAACTATTGCCAACGAACAACTAGCATAAAAAACATTCACCACATCACAACTACCACTGTCACTTAATCAAAAAACTTTATCGTGTACACTGTATTAAAGATAACTTCAGGTTATTTTTATAATAAAAATAATTCGTCGACTTCTGGACTTACCTCTTCTTCTCTGACCTGAACACGTTGCCATGGATCTGCCAAAATAGCCAGAGGCATATCTATAATCAGCAATCACTTGATCAAAATACGCTTCTCAAACAACACACAGCACAAACACATCCGTTCAAACCGGATATTAGGTTCAATATGGCGTTAGACACGGAGTAGCGAATCAAAAAGCAGATAATGTAGTACCCGACATCTACCGGCGATTATATAAATTAACTCTATTGATGGAAACATACGAAAATAAAACTAAATAAACTTTACTTCAGTATGAACTATGAAGAAAAATCTTCCACAATTACAAAACTGAAATCGCATCGTTATAACATGTTACTACTTTGCTACTACAATCACAGACATAATTTCCTAAGGATTACTCAAAAGAACGTCGCTCAGTCATGCAATTTTGACGCAATTATTGGCAACCCTGGTTTATTTAGTGATGGCGATTGCATGAGTGCGTGTGAATTTGAACAGTAACGAAAATAATAATGGCAACGTTTTTTGGGGAAGTTGTAGAACGGTCTTCACGGGCTTTCTGGGGAGATGAGTCTGATAGCGAAGATGATGTACATTCAGAATCTCATAAAAATTACAGGTGAATGTGACACGTTATTATTACATATTCGACTAACTACAGTAGTTCTGAAACTCACGTCTGTAAATAAAAATAAAGTATCATTGTTTACTTGCGTTCTTTTAACTCTGAAGAACACCTCTAGCAGAATTTTACCAATCACAGTGCTCTGTGTTACTCGTGCCCGTTCAACTCTGCCACCGATAGTAGAAATTGTAAAATATATTGAAGTCTTTGGTTTTCTTAAGTACTGCCATTTCTGCACTTTCCTGCTGTGTTAAATATTTTGCAGCATTTGAAATTGGATAATATGAACTTAATTGGGTAATGTTCTTTTCTAGAAACCTTGAAGTGTCAAGTTCTGCCATTATACCATCTACAATAAAATTATTTTTGGTGGTTCATGGACCACTAACAGAAGGTAATATCGAGACTTAATACAACCTGAAACATAATCCTTGTATACAGTAATGTGTATTATCATTACCTGTAAACCTAGAGGCAGGTTTCAACATTAAAAAGTTTAAACTATTATGAAACTGTGTTATTTACCTTTTCATGCAGAGATTTAACTTTTGCATATTTGCAAATATAACTTAATGGAACACTAATATAGTCTGCACATTTCATAATCAAGTTATTGATATTACATCATGACCATGTGAATTTTTTTTGACGTAAATACGTCTATGTTTTAGGGTCAGTGTCATTCGGCAAAAATGTAACGAAAAAGGGAAACGAAAATTTGTAACTTCATTGTTATGATACCTAGGAAACGTCAAACTTCATTGTTATGTTACCTTGGAAACATCATGTGTTTATCAACAAATAAACAACAATGGTTACCTACATAGTTAACTTACATTACCTTACCTTACCTTACATTACATTACATTAC